ACCACCAATAATTAAATTACAAAATGGAAAAATTCACGGAAATTATGTATGGAGCAATTCAATTTTCATGTTTTAAGTTTCAAAATTCAAAATTCAGGTGTTAATTAATTATATTTTATTAAGTAAATATATTAAAATCGCTATTATACAATTAATGGCCACAGATGCGTATTTATAAATCACGACTTATTTATTGATTTCACATATTATTGAATTAATTGATCACAAATTATTTCACGGTCACATTAAAAAATCTTAATAGATCACAATTAATTTTATCGATGACGAATGAAAAAATTCATAGATCACAATTCATTTATCCGTTACAAATTTTCAAATTAGTTAGTCACAAATTATTTTTCACTCACAAATTATCGAATTCTCAAGTTGCAATTAAATAATTGGTCACTAATAACCAAATAGTTGATTACAGATTAACCAAATAGTTGCTCGTGCCACCACTACCAATGCTACCACAACGACCACTTGCAACCACCACGAACACAGTGTAACAATGTTATCGTCACCAACACAGCCCCACGGCCAACAACATTGACACAGACACAACCCTAACAACCCACAACTACCGACCGTTTCACTTCAGACGATGAACTGTCTGCAACGACACGAACTGAACGACACACACAAATCTGAGCATCGACTTTGGACAAAATATTGTTCATATTTGAGATTATGGACCCAATTTTGACTTTCGGATCTCATATACAATACAGGAGCGTGAAGTGGCGACAGTCATTTGTTGTGAACGAAGGCAATTCGCCAGGTTGAACCTAGTCCTAACATCTACGGTGTCCTTTTTCATCGAAAAACCTGTAGAGGTACAGCGCCACCTCAACTCAGCTTGTGGAGCTACCTCGCGCAGCTTTAGAGTTGTGCCTCCGTGTGCAGAGGCGCAGTGTTGCAGTTGTGAAAGGCAACGCTGCGCCTCTGATGCCACCATGTGATGGTGGTATTAGGGAAAGGGGCGATTGGTTGTTGCTAAATGGGTTTGGGGTGGAGGAGGGGGAAGTAGCGGTGGAGGAGAATCAGGTATTTGGTGAGTTAATTGTTCCAATGGTCACTGAATTTAGGTCTATGTCTTTGATTGACCACTGAATTTTAAAATATCGAATTTTGATCACTGAATTTAAGTCTATATCTTTGATTGGCAACTGAAATTTAAAATGTCAAGTTTTAACCACTAAATTTTGAAAAATATCGAGTTTTGGTAATTGAACTTAGGTCCATGTCTTCGATTGCTTATTGAAATTTAAAATGTCGAGTTTTAGCTACTGAATTTTGAAAAATGTTGTACATAACTCACTAAATTTTAAAAAATGTTGTACATTATTTACCGTAAACTTGATATTTTTCGAAGTTCGACAGGTATGCTAGTGAGTAATGTACGACATATTTTAAAATTCAATGGTCAAACCTTGACATTTTAAATTTCAGTGAGCAATTTAAGACATGAATCTAATTTCAATGAGCAATCGAAGACATAGACCTAAATTCAGTAATCAAAACTCGACATTTTAAATTTCAGTGACCAATAAAAAACATGGACCTAAGTTCGGTGATCAAAACTCGACATTTTTCAAAATTCACTGGCCAAAACTCGACATTTTTAAGTTCAGTGGTCAATCAAAGATATGGATCTAAGTTCAGTGACCATTGGTACATGACATCAATGAGGGAAATAATTTAAGGTTTGTAGTGAGGTTGAAGTAGGTAAGTTTTTAAATATTATTAATATATGATTTTTGATTAAACAAACTTCACAAATAATATGATTTTTGATTAAATAAACTTCACACCAAATTTTTGAATTGGAAAATAAAAACACCTGTTTATATGTAATTTCCTCATTAAAAAATTCCTTTTCTTTTTCTTTGTTTATTTTTAATCATTTGGTTATTTTTTATTTATTTTCACTTTCCATTGCTTTTCAATTTATTGAGGATAGAATGTCTTAAGTGACATTAACGGACATTAACGAAAAATTGGGACGAGTGTCATCACAAAGGATCATTTGCGTGAATTAGTGAAATGTTAAAGATGATACGTGCTATTAAAATTCACTAGGAATAAAATAGTAACAATAAAAAGGCTTAAGACCTATACAATAAACCAGTGTTCTAAAATGCACGCATATATTTCGTATATATCTCCTTATGCTTGATGCATTTATAAAACGTCCTACATATGGGATATGTATGTGATAATGCGGTTAACTCATTTCGTTAATCGAATATGCAAGCTTAAACACCAAAACTCATTTCAAAATACATTTATGTTAAAAATCGTGTCAAAATTAATCTAGCAAAGTTTAGTTCATTTTTTAAATTTTTAAAAAAAGGTAAATTAATCTCAACAAATATCAAATTGACCAAAATCATCCAAGCCTCTGAATTATATATATCAATCTTTAAATTTTCAACGTTTAGTAGAGTTACAAACTATCTACTTCAAGTTTAACCCTCCTCCTTGGATATTTCTCTTGTTTCACTATCAAGTAATGCTAGTAATGAACAATCTTGATTTTTTATGATTGTGATGATGAGGAGGAGATTAATAGTGATATCCCACCATCTACAAGAAATAATAGAAATTTTCGAGTTGAAGTAGGGGAGCTCAATGAAGATGATTTTACATCAAATAACACGAAAGATGACTTGGATGAAGATAAGTTTGAATTGAAATTTGACAATATTTAGGATTTTTTAAGGCAATTTTTGTAAATAATCTAATCGTAGAATTGATACCAAGTAACTGCAGTTCTTATAATTTTAAGCATTACGTTTTTTGTTAAAAATTTAAAGAATAAGTATAAAGTATAAAGTTCAAGTAATTGTAGTGTTTATGATTTTTAGCTATATATATATACATATTTGTGAAGAGTATGTACAAAGTTTAAAGAATGTATTATTTTATTTATTTATTAGTTTAGAATATTTAAATTAATATTAAAAATTGAAAAACGCATAATTACGCATACGTTTCGTATAGACATGCATATTCTTGTAATAATTGATACTCGACCGAAATGCGTTGTCATGCATTACGCATTTTAGAACCTTACAATAAACAAATGCTCTAAACACGTTCGCTATCCACATTAGTAACATAAAATCAGATTCAAGTTATAACTTTCAAAAAAAATAAATTATTTTACATAAATATAAATTACATATATTATAACTGTATTTAAAATTGATAAAAAAAAAATCTGATTAACATTCGAGCTATTCATTATAATTTTATAATACATATCGTGAAACAATAGTATTACAATATAATATAATCCTCGTTAATTGGGATCAACTTATCATGAGTAATTAATTGTAAATTTATTATGCAATTTAACATTCATGACGAGGTAAGATTTGACCAATTCGATGAATAACAAATCAAAACAATTTAATATTAACTTAAAGTTATGAAATACATAGAACTTCTCCTTAAACAATTTATTAATAAAGTTTTAAATTAAATTATCTTTAACATTCTATATGTTATATGCATAATTGCATATGTAGAGAAATGTTATACTATGCATCATTGTTTTATTTAAGTTAAACAATAGTGACACGTTTGATCAATTAATTGATGGATTATTTAATTTTTATGACCCGTTATAAATTATTTTAACGATTAATTAATATCCCATGTATGCTTAGTAGATATGTTTAGTTTATGCTAAACAATATAAGGAAAATTCTACTTGTACTTGTACATAATTATTTCACATAATGGTGTTCATAATGTGATGTGACAATCATTCGGTTATTGATGTACATGTGTGATATTTGAATTAAAGGGTGGATCGAGTGACACGTGTAATTATGAACACCATTACATAAACAATTATATATATGTAACACTTCCCACAATATAATTATGACAAATCAATTAATTGATAGGTCGTTTAATTATAGGACCTACCACGAACATTTTAATAATGTAAATAATTGGTATAGCATGTCATCGTTGATTAGTAGTGTGCTTATTGAATCATTTTTCAGCATATGTGCACCGTGCACTTATTTATATTCATTAAATGCGTGTACACATATAATTAATAAGAAATAATTTAGTGTATGCTAAATGATAGTGACATGATACATCAATTAATTGATGTGTAATCTTTTTCTGGGTCTTATAAATTAAATTAAATTTGTTGGATTAATTAATATTTCAATCAACACTTAGTCCCGATTTGGTAGGAATTAAAATTTGAAATTTTTATCTAAATTAAAATCAACATTTAATTTTAACCACATAATTAATAGGATCCATAACTTTTTAATTATACATTTTAATCTCCATCAAATTGGGGCTTAGTATATCATTTCTTTATAATCATTCAAAAATCTTCATAAATTCGCGTGCACATATTTTTGTCGAAGTATTTATTATATGAAATAGCGCTTCTTATCGCAATATTAGTGCTACAACATCAGTTGACACTACTTAATAAGTTCAATTAAAAGTAAAAATATATAACTGATTTAACTATATCTCTCATTTAACGTCACTTAGTGCCTTGCACGAGTAATGTTAAATACTCTATTTTTATTACATAAATTAGAGGGAGCTTCCTTCATTTATATATGCAAATATAAGTACCATCATTTAACTAATATAGCATATTGTTTCCATCATACTAGATTATGTGCGTATATTCATTATAGTCCTCTAATTAGTTTTTGATTATGAAGACGTTTAATTTTATTCTATATCATCGTTTATTCCGACTCGGAGAGATTTAAAGCCAAACATGTATTCAAGAGGCCCCTGAAAATTTAACCAATAGACAAAAGAAAAAAAATTGATTATGTAACTTTAATAACAGTTTAAATACCAAATTGCTTCTTTTTAATTAATGGAGACCAATTGGATATTGAGACAATAAATTAGGGACTAATATTGCAATTTATCTTTATTATTATTATTATCATAATATTAATTTTGAATTGAATAAATGTCTACAACTAATTTTGGCGGATTAGAATGTTATTATTGCTTTCGCTCTCACTCTGAACTCTATCCATTCTCGTTCATACAAACTAATTCATATCTGTATGTTTTCATTCTACAATCTGCAAAACACAGTTGATTCTGAGCATATCATTTTGTTGAGTTAATGGATAGAAACAATTATAATGATTTTAGTCAAGAAGCTGATATTGAGAATGACGGCGGAAGAGGTGGTTGTGGTGGTGTTGGTGTTGGTGTTGTGGATGAACGAAATGAGAGCAACGTGTCGTCGTATATACAGAGAGAAGCAGCCCTGACAGAGGTGTTACTGAAGAGTAGAGTCAATAATACTTCTCAGATTGCCATCATTGGGGCTAATGTTTGCCCAATCGAAAGCTTAGATTACGAGTATGAATTCAATTTTATTACGCTTCAGCTGTTTTTGTATGATTCTCTTTGGGCTTTTCGAATTTCGGATCCATTTTAGAACTTTCGGTATTATATAATTTTAATTTTTACGTCAGAGCATAAAACATACTCAATTATTTATATTTTTCTTATGCTATAATTCATACATGTTATGGACTATATTTAGTAATTGTGTTGTGAAGCCTATAGTATTGTAAAGCTTCATTCTCTTAATTAATACTGAAAATAATTCTGGTGTTTTGTTAGTAAAGATGAATGGAATTTTGCCTATTGACGTGACTGCAAAAACAAGCAAATTTTTCTCATTTTATACTGGAATCGTTGCAGGTTGATTTTAATAATGATATGCTAACACTGTTAGATGGTCTCTTCATTTTTCAAAACTACTTAGTAACAACCATATGTCCAGGGATTTAATTCAATGACAATTTCTTTTGCAGGTTTGTTGAGAATGAAATCTTTAAGCAAGACTGGAGATCTAGGAGAAGGGTTCACATTATTCAGTATCTTTTTCTCAAATGGACACTTGCCCTTCTCATTGGGTTAAGCACTGGTCTTGTTGGCTTCTTGAATAACCTAGCAGTCGAGAATATTGCTGGTTACAAGCTTCTGCTCATTGGCAATCTGATGCTTAATGATAAGTAAGCCCAATTTTTTTATTAGATACAGAACACTCTAGATTCATATCAAATTCAACGAGCCTTTGGTTCTTGATGCAAAATTATTGGCATCATCACATTCCAATTACTTCTCTGTAACACTGGCTTTCATTTATCCTTGAATATTGGGTTCATAACACTAATTTAAGCGAATTTTAATGCAATATCATATAATCATATATTCTAACAGCTCCTACAAACCTTACAGTGCCCGTTCTGTTGTGCACCCCTACCCAATGTTTGATATTTGCTTTGCTGTAGTGAAATACTTTAACATGGAGAGTGACACTGCATTGGTGCTTATAAGGTTGAGTTGTATAATAATCCTTTTATGTTAATGTAATGTACTTAGCCATAATTTCCAAGAAACTCTTTATAATTGGGGGCAGAAATGGAAATGAAACGTTTTGAATTGGGTGTGGGAAACATGTTGAAAAGGCTCAGGAGGTCTTTCAAAATTAATAATTACATTTGACATAAGTTGAATTTATAAACAGATCTTTAGAATGTTTTAGAAATATTCAGGAATGTTTAAAAGAGCTTTAAGAGACCTTTGTACTATAGATGTCATTTACCTTGTTTTCTCTTTCACTTTATTGTTATGATTGTAATTGGCAGAAAAAATGATTTCCTTGTACTTAACTTAAATCTCTCTCTTGTGTGGTATTTCATAATTGGTTGAAAAGAGTGAACTATTTTTTTTTTTATCCCAGTGCAGGTATTATCAGGCATTTGCAGCATTTGCAGGACTGAATATGATTCTTGCTATTTGTGCTGCGGCACTCTGTGCATTCATTGCCCCTGCGGCCGCTGGGTCTGGCATACCTGAGGTGAAAGCATATCTGAATGGTGTAGATGGTCATTCCATTTTGGCTCCGAGTACCCTTTTTGTCAAGGTGGCTAACATCTTTCCAGTATTCTTTCCAATTCCCAGCATAGTCTTTCACTTTCCCCACGCATGCACATGCCTTCCTCTCTTAATTTATTATCAATATGCTGAATGAAATAAGTGGAAAGTTGTGATAGTTTCTAGTCCATAAAAGTTACAGATGTTTTAAGAGAGGCAAGCTGTTTTGCAGCTGCACCCTAAGACAATTATGAATTCAGAAATGAAGCTGTTGGCTTCTAAACATAGTTCAAACTGGACTGTGGTCTATACACATACTATATCTAGGAATGAATTACTTTTGAATACGTAATAAAATGCTTTCCCCAGGTCTTCAGTTAATATTTTCTTATAATGCACATATTCCATAGACAAATTTTCAAGGAAATAGTTAATTACATATGCATAATTCTACAACGAAAAAAAGGCAAAGACTTATTCTCCATAAACTTGAAGTTTATGTCATCCTTTGCCACTCTGTGTATCTATGCAATCCATAACAACTTATATCTTTAGTATGTCGATTCTTGTAGATTTTTGGTTCCATTTTTGGAGTTTCTGCTGGATTTGTTGTGGGTAAGGAAGGACCCATGGTACACACTGGTGCCTGCATAGCCAACTTTCTTGGACAGGGAGGCTCTCGCAAGTATCATTTGACTTGGAAGTGGCTCAGGTACTTTAAAAATGATCGAGACCGAAGGGATTTGATTACTTGTGGGGCTGCTGCTGGTGTCGCTGCTGCTTTCCGCTCCCCTGTTGGAGGTGTTCTTTTTGCTCTTGAAGAGGCAGCTTCATGGTAACAAGCACCATTGTAAATTGAACAAATACTTTTCAATCAAAGGATATGAGTTAATTAAGCCAATCATCTCATTTATCCATTCAAGGATGTTTAAGACGTGAGTTTCACAGCGCATGCACAGGGGAGAAAAATAACTGCTTAAATATTTTAAAAAGTAATGGTACAAGTTGCTTTTTCATTTTTTGTATACTGGGTTTTCAATAGATAATTCAAATGCATCTGAGTTTATGGCCATGCTGAAAAATATACAAGAAAAATGGAATACATATAATTGATTGGAAAATCTGGTTATATGAGCTGGTTTTAACTTGCATCATCCCTTTAAGTGGTGTCTCTTAAAGAAACTTATTTGCCCATTGTCTACTTATAGGTGGAGGAGTGCGCTTCTTTGGAGGACTTTCTTCACAACTGCTGTTGTAGCTATGGTAGTGAGATCTCTAATAGAAATTTGTCGGAGTGGAAAATGTGGATTATTTGGACAGGGAGGTTTGATCATGTTTGATGTCAATTCAGCAGATCCTTCTTATAATACTCCAGATCTACTCGCCATTATGTTAATTGGGGTTCTTGGAGGCATTTTTGGAAGCCTTTACAATTATCTTGTAGATAAGGTCCTTAGAACGTATAGCATCATCAACGAGTAATGCCTGTTAACCCCTTTCTCTTATGTAGTAATATAGTTTGGTCCATATAGGACCATTCAAATATGTTTTACACTAATAAACACCATATCTATTGGTCATTAGGGAGATTTTTTCCTGAAGCATGACAGCAATATTTTAGCTTTATTACATTAAGATGAACAAACTATTCATAAACACGTGTTTAACTAAAATTGTCTTATTTATCTGAAATGCACCTGCTTTTCTTCCCTTTATAGGAAGTCCTATTTTAGTTTTGGCTCTAATCATAGGAGAAAATTCAAATATTTTGGAATCAGAATTTTCAGAATGCAGTGAATTATTTTTATCTTTGGAGAGAGAATTCATATTTGGAATTAGATTTCTCTGAATGCAGTAAATTTTATATTTATCTGTATCATATTTGAATGTTAATCCTCTTTTTTTATTTTTAACAATTTCCTGTAGGAGAGGTCCTGTTTTCAAGGTTCTACTTGTCATTACAGTTTCCCTTCTGACTTCTTGTTGTGCCTTTGGCCTTCCTTGGCTTATAAAGTGTACGTCCTGCCCCATCGGCATGGAGAAGGAATGTCCCACCATTGGCCGCTTCGGAAAGTACAGAAGTTTTCAATGTCAACCAGGATACTACAATGATCTGGCCTCCATTTTCCTCAACACCAGCGATAATGCCATCCGCAATTTATTTAGTTCAACGAATGAAGATGAATTTAAACTCTCTACACTATTTATTTTCTTTGTTGCTATTTATTTTCTTGGTATCGTTACTTATGGAATTGCTGTCCCTTCTGGACTCTTTATTCCTGTCATACTCGCTGGAGCCTCATATGGGCGCTTTGTTGGGAGACTTTTGGGTTCGACCTTGAATCTTGATGTTGGTCTCTTTGCTCTTCTTGGAGCCGCCTCCTTTCTTGGTGGCACCATGAGAATGACGGTCTCGCTTTGCATTATACTCCTGGAACTTACCAATGATCTATTAATGCTGCCATTGGTGATGCTTGTTCTTCTTATTTCGAAGACTGTAGCTGACAGTTTCAACAAGGGGGTCTATGACCAAATAGTGGAGATGAAGGGTTTGCCTTACATGGAAGCGCATGCTGAACCATACATGAGGCAGCTGGTCGCTGGGGATGTATGCTCAGGTCCGTTGATTACATTTTCTGGTGTCGAGAAAGTGAGTAATATATTGCATGCTCTAAGGATGACAGGACATAATGGGTTTCCAGTTATTGATGAGCCACCATTCTCAGATGCACCGGAACTATGCGGGTTGGTTTTGAGGTCTCACTTACTTGTTTTGCTAAAAGGAAAAAAATTTGCAAAGAATCAGGTATTGACAGGATCAGAATTTTTAAGGATGTTTCATGCCTTCGATTTTGCTAAACCAGGATCTGGTAAGGGGCTTCATTTGGAGGATTTGGACATCAGTGATGATGAAATGGAGATGTATGTTGATCTCCATCCAGTTACAAATACATCTCCTTACACAGTAGTAGAGACTATGTCCCTTGCCAAAGCTTCAGTCCTCTTTCGACAACTTGGTCTCAGACACTTGTGTGTCGTCCCAAAGACACCTGGGGTAAGAAATGTTGTTGTATTATCTGTTATCTGAACGAGGTACCGGCAATATTTCTCTTATTTTCTCATGTTAGCAAACTAAATCCACTCGGTTAAATTCGCACCTCACCCTGCAGGTTTAAGTTTTCAGATCCTTTCAGAAATCCCGTATTTCTTATATCAAGAAGCAGCTTTTTCCCATACTATAGTTGCACAGTCTACTGATGAGGTTTAGAATTCTTTGCAACCTTAACTTCTTTTCTATAATCTGCAGAGACCTCCAATTGTAGGAATCTTGACACGGCACGACTTTATGCCAGAGCATGTGTTGGGACTCTACCCGCATATTATTCCTCACAAGTAGCTACACAGGCAAGTGAACGTTATTCGGTCCATCTGCTCGATCACTTGACATTTTTATCTGTCCATGAACTTTGGCTGGCTTATTGCAAGGATTCACTTCCAACAATCATATGCACATTCCTTCAGATTTATCGAGCTCGTAGACAAATATTATGGTGTGATTATTGTATAAAAGCGAACCTTTTATTGAACTTGGCAATTGGGTTGGTTCAAGATAAGATCATCTTGGCTGGCGTAATAATTTCTTCACCGTATTTCAATTTTGTTGTGAACTGTAGACTCTTAATTGACTGTTGCAAAAGGTTGGCATTTTGGCAAGCTGATAGAAAAATATTCATAAAAATTTCTGTATGGATGTTTTTGAAATTGAATGAGAAAATGTCTTGTGCGAGATTGCCATTGTATTCAATTATGACATTAAACATGAGCACTTGGATTTCCCAAATGGAGAATGGTTATTTCAGTTTACATACATACAGTTTTTACATAATTATTTACAAATCCGTGGAATGCAAGGGTAGAAGATGTCACATTACCACATACATATATCTAAACATGTTTGGTATCCAGTGCTAAATGTGACTGGAAAATACAACAGGCAACCGTTCCAACTTCTTTTTCTTTACTATTTTCGCTTCAACCAAACATGTCTTGCACAATGTAGCTATCACCACCTCATATCTGAAGATTGCCCCCATTCTAAGAAGCAGCTACCATGACGAGTGTTCTATATTCTTCAGCCCACGAAGATCTCATGCTTCAACACTTGAAACGTTGTCCTTGAACGGTCCAGAATCATGCAGTAATTTCATTACAAGTTTAATCTGTAGAAGAATTCAGTGAACTATAGTTGAGAAACGATGATACGAAATTCAAAAGAAACTATAGTTGATAAGCGATACGAAATTCAAAAGAACGCAGAATGAGTTTATTCTGATTCAGGTCCCTACTAGAAGACTTATAACGACTACCAAGAGAAAATTGACAAGGTGGAATGAAGTTAAGTTCATCTTGCTCAGTTCAGAGGGAAGAAAGGTAACTGCAGTTTTCTATTTTATCGAACTTTCACACCTTAATATTTTCAAGCTCGGTCCATCTCAGTTTCATAGGTTCAGCTAGAGAGATAAGACTAATTGCACCTTTCATAATTGCAGCCTAGAGATTTACACTACAACATAATTCAGAAAGATGCATCATCAATAAAAAAGTGTCTGGCTTCCAAGATAACCGAATACATTTGTTGTCTCTAATGGCTTAAGCTTCCACTCGAGGTAGTTCAAGACAAGTCTTTTAGGATAAATATCAGACAGACTCACTTGTAGGACATACACCAGAATTAAGAATAAGAAATAAAAATGAGTCTTAAATTAAGCAGTATCATATGGTTATTGATGGACATATCTAAAATATAATAAAATTACCTGAGCTGCTTCCCGAGCCAAGAAATCTGCAATGACTTTACGAAACTCTGCATCCAGAAAGTAGTGACAGCTGTAGGTTGTCACTGGCAGATAACCCCTCTGAATTTTATGTTCACCTTGAGCTCCAGCCTCTACCTTGTCAAGATTAAGTTCAATAGCTGCTTCTATTGCCTGCAGCATCAACATCAATCCAGGTTTCAGGAAGTTTATTTTTCCATCTATATAATAGCTTGTTCGCATGTGAAGAAAAACCAAGTTTATTAGCGAGCCTTTTTCAGATTAATACGGCTTATACCATGATTATGTAAACATCAAGCTAAAGATCGCGTGAAAAGAAAAGATTATGACATATTCCCATGAGTCAGTAAGGAGATCAAAATTTCACAAGACGCGACATTTATCATTTATGTAGATAATGTTACTACCTGATACTGCCCACAAGGGATATAACTTTACAGATAAAAGCAGAGAGTAAATTCAGAACCTGATAATAGCAGGCTTCAAAATGCAAATTTGGATAATATACACCTGGGTGACATCCCCATAATCTCCCATATAACGTATCTCCTCCAATAAGATTAAGGGCTGCTGCAACAAGTTCTTCCCCTTCTTCAGCAGCAACAAGTAGTACATTGTCGCCCATTTTTGAAGCCATATTGTGGAAGAAGTCTCTTGTTAAATAAGCACTACCCCACCTATAGACAATAACAAAAAGCATGTGTTCAGCTAAAATTCCAATCTTTTTTCCACAATATGCAATCTGCAAGAAACGGAATGCTTGACATAATGCTGGCTCAAAAAAAAAAAAAAAAAAAAAAAAAAAAAAAAAAAAAAGAGATCAAAATTTCACAAGACGCGACATTTATCATTTATGTAGATAATGTTACTACCTGATACTGCCCACAAGGGATATAACTTTACAGATAAAAGCAGAGAGTAAATTCAGAACCTGATAATAGCAGGCTTCAAAATGCAAATTTGGATAATATACACCTGGGTGACATCCCCATAATCTCCCATATAACGTATCTCCTCCAATAAGATTAAGGGCTGCTGCAACAAGTTCTTCCCCTTCTTCAGCAGCAACAAGTAGTACATTGTCGCCCATTTTTGAAGCCATATTGTGGAAGAAGTCTCTTGTTAAATAAGCACTACCCCACCTATAGACAATAACAAAAAGCATGTGTTCAGCTAAAATTCCAATCTTTTTTCCACAATATGCAATCTGCAAGAAACGGAATGCTTGACATAATGCTGGCTCAAAAAAAAAAAAAAAAAAAAATCAACAATGAAATAAAAGGTTGAACAAAACACACTGAACTTATTATCTGTGGTGTTCCTGTAGAACTCATAGAAGGTATCCCAGTGCCTAGCCTGCCAACACGCATTTTTAGACAAACAAAAGTGAGAACTTGAGGATACAAAATACTAAATGAAAATTCAGAAAGTAGTTTAATATTTAATATTTTTTTCCGCGAGTTAAGGCATATAGATATCAACTCTTACAGAAATAATGCAATCTCATTTTTATGAAAAGATAGAAGCCCACCAGCATTAACTACAGATATCATCTTCATCATTGAGGAAAATAAGAATTGTTTGTGATGCAATATATACCTTAATTTCACATCCTCTTAGACGCTTCATGGTTAAATTCTGGGCCGATATCTGCAGGAGGGAATTTTGCTTTAACATGGAACTAAGTTAACATCCTTTACAGATAAAAGAACATAAAGGGAAGCAACTAGCTCTTCCCAAAATATACTCTTCCTAACACAACTGTGAGTTTTCTTGACCAATAGTCGCAGCTTTTATGAGTTATAATCATAAAGTTAGATAATCCTTTCAAAAGGTCATAAAGTAAGATAATGCTTCCTAAGATACTAGGAAACAGAATCTGCTCTGATCCTGTCCAGGAGGTTTCTCTGTATATACAACTACTGTTCTATATACAACTACTGTTCTATCTTTGAACCACAATAGTGTAATGATTCATGCTTGGAAGACTTCAGTAGAAAATCTGAGGCCTCCTTTTATTTTCATGCGAGGTTCATATACTGAGGTCCTTGTACCAACAGTTTACCCGACTCTGCATCCTTCTATTTCCATTGATCAACAGACAAAAGAAAAATAAAATGAAAACCCAAACCTTCTTACGCTCTTGACGAATATTTTTCCTTTTACTTTGCTTCATGTCCATCAAAAACTCATCAAAACTGCATTAAACAGTAACATCAGATTAGAAATAACAAGACAACCTGAAATATTAACACAATGTTTACATTCAGATTGAAAACTACAAACAAGGACAATCTTACTCCCAACAGTAAGATTCTTGTGGCATTGAATGAAAAACAAGGTTGGTTTACTTTATCTATTAATATCAAATAATAAAGCGAATACCATGAACCAAATAAGCATCTACATATAAATAGTTATATACCTTTTATAGTTTCGATTTTTCCAGTGATACTGCATTCCAATCCTCTGTAGAAAACCTTTCTCCTTCAACTTGTCCCACTCATTTGCAGAAGGGAAAGTGATGTGCAGTGATGAAACCTGAAACTGGCAAGACGAAGATATGCTACTGTGATTATCTGGCACTATTTAAAAGAAAAATACTTATGCAACCAAAAGATATTCAAACAAGATACAACTCTATGAAACCTTAATGTAGGAACATTTTGGCTTGATAACAGTTGTGCCGCAATTAGGGTTTTTGGAATTTGTAGTGAATTGGTTATTGCAGGTGGCAGCATGATTCTGGTATATGAGAAGAGTGGGAGAGCTGGAGAACCTGATGTCTAAAGCAGTGTTCTAAAAGGCGTAATGCGTGGCGATGTGTAGAGGCCAAGCTATGGGCTGGGCGAGGCATAGGCCTAAAAAAGCGTTTTCTTATTTTTAATATTATTTTAATTTTTAATCAATCGAAAAATTGTTTAATAATTAAAAATAATACCTGCCAAACATGTAAAACAAATTTATAGGAAATTTATACATTTTTCCAAAATTTTCAACAAAAATATAAGTTCCAAATATAAACATTAAATAGTAAATAAATAGGAATTTTTGGAGATTTCCTTTGTTCAAAACTTCAAGCGACTATTTTGAATTTAGAACCGACGAAGTGAAGAAATCAACATTTAAGTTTTAACTTAGAAAAATTGTGAAAAATAAAATAAAAAAGATAATTATGGATGCCTAGGCGCACATAACCACACTTAGGTGGGCATTAGAGGTCAACGATTGCTGTTGACCGCTAAAAAAGATGCCAAGCTACTTGGCTTGACGTTTCCGCCGCACATCGCGCATTGGCGCTACCAATGCACGCTGTTTAGAACAGTGGTCTAAAGTTAGCCATCCAGCTATATTTCCTTTACCTAAACTTTTGTGTCTGATTAAACAATTAAATTGGGGTCATTGAATAATCGAAAACAGATTCTAAATGGTAGCCAGAGATTGACTTGTTGGAAGAATATGAGAGCATATCCACATAAAACACACAGATAAGGACTACAAAATCAAAGAATACATATCACATAATTTCTAACCACAATAAAAAAAAGATACTCAAATGCGCTTCCAATTTTATCCATGAACAGTAAGTTCCCTGCCTCAAGAACGAAAAAAGGAAGAGGAGAAATGATGTAGGACAATCCTATAGTAAATAGGGTAAAAGTTAGATGTTTACATTAAGAAGTTTGTTGTTTAGAATAGGATTTCTTTTCTTTATTAATTAGAATAGGATTTCTAATTTCTTTTAGATTACAATTTTATATTAGTTTCCTTATATTAGTAAGATTAAGGAATAATTTGTCTACATATACTAAGGCTTTTTAATTTAAATAAATTCAATTCAATACAATAAAATTATTCCCTACATAATTTCTAGCTTTTACTTCATTCTTGTATCAAGAATTCCAATTCCGTTTCTGCACCAAAATTGGTATCAGAGCAAGGTTTGCCATTAGCTGATGTTTACTTATGATGGTAGTTATATGAATCATCGACGATGATCAGAGGATTACAAAACCAACATTGGTCAAGAATTTGAGATGCAGCTGACAAAGATTTGTAGACCGTAACTGCTAAGTATATTGGTTGAAGCCTAGAACACAACGACGGGTGGCTAGAGAGGTTTCCTCGAGCCCCAACTAAGTTTGGGTACACACAAGTTACCAAGGGTTCTGTGAAGATCTATCTAGGAGATATAAAAGAGTCGAATTTGAAGCATAACAAGATTTTTAGAACACGATATGCAACGTGATACGAACCATGAGAGTGGTGAGAATTTGATATCCAAAGCACTGGTGAAAGTCTTAAATTTGAAGAATGAAAAATACTCATCTTGCTATCAAGCTTCACAAGTTAAAAAGGGGGCAAGAAATTCAAACTATGGAGACATGTAAAATTTTACTTTCTATTGAAAAGTACTACAAAGATGAGATTATATGTAAAGTGGTAGAGATTGAAGATTGTCGTGTACTTTGAGGACACTCATGGTATTGTACTGTAGATGCCACTTACATAAATTGAGATAACAGTAATGCGTTTAGGTGGTATGATAAGAAGATTGTATTGATGTTATGTGATGAGCAATTTGTGAACACTAGTGTAAACAAAGAGAAATAAGTTTATAAGGCAGATAATGAGGTTAAAAAAATGTAATTCAAGATAATTAGGATGTTACCGTTCATGATACTACAGTAGAAAAAGAAAAGTATGTGCAAGTTGAAAATCCGAGACCCGTTGATTCCTTATATATGAAAATTGCAATTGAAGACCCCAAGATCGAGTTGCACTCTGATGATAAACAAGTCGAACTTCAGAAAGTGTCCAACAAAAAATGAGGGATTAAACTTTCCAATCACAAAGGAATCAAAGGTGAGGCTAGTTAACTTGAGAATAAAATTTTTGTTAACATTTTCTACACTTTCAATACCAATTAATTGCATAAAAATAAGAAAAACACGGACGATGAGGATTTGAGTTTTTGTACCATTTATTTTGTATTGAAGAAAGCATCACTCGACATTATAAAAGAAGATAAGAAGTATGAAGAATTGAAAATAGCACCAATGGTCTCTATTGAAATCGGACTCAAGGATGAGATATCAATCATGCTTCGTTTATAAGGGAATATCTCTTAGAAATTGTCCGTGAATAGGGATGTCAAAAAAGCTGAGCCAAGCGAAATAGGGCTCGTGAGCCCGAGTGCAAGCCCATGCCCACGAGCGGCTCGTTAAAACGACGAGCCATGAGCTGCTCGGCTCATGGCTTGTAATTTTTCAGTGACCGAAACCGGTCACTGATTTATTTATTTTTATTTTTTTTCCTCTATTATAAATACCCCCTTAACTCCCCATTTTTTTCATATCAATTATCTCCTCATTCTCACTTCTCATTTCTCAACTCTCTTTTATTATATCAATTATCGAGTTTTTACTCTCTTGTAATATTATGCAAAATATACAATATCGATTCATTTTTTTTACAGTTTATTCAGTTACAATTTCAATTCATCAAATTCTCAATTCTCACTACATTTTTATTTTTCTAATTATTATATTTGAATTTCATCATAAACAATCAAACAAATGGATCAATGCTCATTTGTTGAGAGCTTATTCGATACGGGATATAGGCCACATGGCGAATCGCCTAGGACGACGCAAAGTCAATTTCCAAATGAATTTGTCGGTCTAAGTGACGTACCCATACCTGAAGATGTTCACATTCATGGTCATGGAAGCCACAATTCAATTGATTTGGATGATATTAACATTCCCAAAATGGAATATGAAGACTAAGATGCCGAATTAAACATCCCAGATTCGAGGGAAAAGCGAAAGGGCAAAAAACAAGTAAAATGTTGGGATCACTTTAAATTGATTTCAACGGAAAAAGTCGTCGATAACCTTGTAGAGTCTAACATACTGCAAACAAAGATTGGCATGGAAAAAAAGAATTGGTACCACCCATCTCAACCGCCACTACAAAGCATGTGCGACCAGACATGGACTTCTTCCAGCTGGTCAATCACAATTGCAATTTGACAGTCCAAACGCCGGTTCTAAGACTTCACCTCTATCCACGTGAGTGTATTCGAAGGACAATACACGAACCGGAATGGTGAAATTCGTTGCCGCCATTGAATTGCCTCTAGCTATTGCAGACAACCAACACTTCGTCTCATTCGTGAAAGAATATCTACAATCAAGATATGTTGAGGTAAGTCGAAATACTCTTCGTGCCGATACAATACAATATTTTAATAATTCAAAACAATTAATTATAAATTTGCAACAATATGGGGTGTTATATCTTTAACTTCTGATATATGGAAAGGAGTTAATAAAAGAGCATATATAGCTGCAACCGCATACTATATAGACCCACATTAGTGCATGCATAAAAAAATTATTGTTTTTAGAATTATTGAGTTTCCTCACAATGCTAATAATATATATAATGCTATTATCAGTATTGTTAGAAAATATAATTGCGAGACTAAAATTCGGTCTTTTACTTTTGATAATGCTAGTGTTAATAAGGTAGTCGTCGATAAATTGTATAGAACACTTCAACCTGATTTTGGTGAGTATTTGTTTCATATTCATTGTGTGTCATATCTTGAATTTAATTGTGCAAGATGGTTTAAAACATATAAATGATGAATTTCAAAGGATTAGGAATGCATTAGTATATATTACGATCTCTCCTAGTAGAAAATAAATGTTTGAAGATTTTTGTACCAAAGTAGGGGTGACAACTGTTAAAACATTTGTTAGTAACGTAGGTTGTAGATGGAACTCTACTTACTTACTATTAAAGTCATGTGAAGGTTTCGAACATTTAATAACTGACTTTTATAACAATAAACACATTAGAAGTTATGACGATTGCATGTTAAATGAATCCGATTGGGTTTTAGTTTTGAAAGTTAAACGATTTTTGACATCCTTTTATGAGATCACAAAGATTTTATCCGACATTTATTATCCCACAAGCTGTATGGTGCTTAAACACCTTTATATAATTGCAAGAATATTTCATAAATATAAAAATGATCCTACTTTTAGTGAAATTATAATTTCTACGGAATTAAAGTTTAGAAAATTTTGAGAATAACTGCTTATGTTATTTCCTTTAGCAGCGCAATGGACCCCCGATATAATATTTCAAAAACTAAATACGTAATTGATCAGATCAATAAAGCCTTAACATTTGATACACCTATCACCTATAAGAATTTAAAGCAAACATTATGCGGAATGTATGATTTATATGCGAAAAAAATGGGTGCGAATGTTTGTCGCACAGCCTCCGCACCTACTCCTTCGGCTGAAATTGAAGAAGAAGATGCCGAAATAATGAATTTATTACAAAGCATTAATACATTTAGATATAATGCAATTGCAATATGTTCATCTAGTACCATATCGTCTATATTTGCATCTCATCAAACATCGACCGCAACTCAAAATGCGATGCCTGTCGAATTAATTAATTACTTCAATCATAATATGCCAACAGATAGGACAATTAAAAAAAGTTAAGAAGTAATTGAATTCTAGCGAAAGTATGAAAGATGTTGGCCAATTGTTTCTGCAATTGCGAAAGATCTGCTAACACCTCCGGTTAGCACTGTTGCTTCGGAGTCTGCTTTTAGTGCAAGTAAAATGGTATTGACCGATGTCAGAAGTCGACTAAAAGATGTTTTGGAAGCGCTAATGTATGTGAAGGATTGGCAGGACGCTCATTTTCGACTATACGATAAATACGCTGAAATTGCATGTCGTCAGGTAAGTGATATTTGATTTAATTATATTAATCAAAATTTTCTTATTTTTTAATCGTTAAATTTAATTTTCTTTAAAAAATTGTACACGTTACAATAAATTGTTCGTGTACAATTTTTAACTCCGCCTACTTAAAATTGATGTAGCTGATCCCAAGCCCGAATAAAGGAGGAGAGTTTATATTTTATCTATTTTAAAAAGAAATCGAAAAAAATGTATTTTTTGTAAATGTATTTCAAAAAACAATTCTTCTTTATTACATAAATATTTTTTACTTTATAAAAAATATTACGATATGATAGAAATAAAAAAAAAATGTGTCTTCGTTAAATTATTTTTATTTTTTTAACACTTTATATTTTTAAAGTGTTTTCATTACATTATTTGTGTTTTTCTCTATTTAAAAAAAAATGACGAGCTCGCGAGCTAAAGCTCGGCTCGGTGCGAGCCAAAGCTCAACTCGTGGGCCGAGCCGAGCTTGAACTCGGCTCTTTGAAAATGAGCCACGAGCTCGGCTCGAGGTTAAGGGCCGAGCCATTTACATCACTATCTGTGAAGAAGATAAAATGAGAATGGTAGGAAAAATTAATTTCAAACAATGCAACTAAAAAATTTAAGGTTTATAGAGCACATCAAGAAATTGATATTTCTTCAATATCAGTATTAACCTCAACCTCAGAAGCACGAACGCTGCCGAAGATCCTTGCAGCGTGTCGTAGGTGAGAAAAGGCAGCTAATTTGAAGAAATGCAACAAGAAAAATAAATAGGAGGAAGAAATGGAGAAGAAATTAACGGTGACCGTTGAATACCTGGGAAGAAATGCAACTGGCAAAAGTGTCTGGGAAGCAATCATTTGGAGAAGGAAAGAAAAAAGAGAGAAAAGAGAAAAGGAAGGGACTGTTGGGTTGAAAAAAGTCATGGAAATGAAAAGTCTTACCTTTACCAATGCAAATTTTAAATTGTTGGGCCCACCACCTATAAAATTTCTCATTTAGTGTATGTTATGTACGTTTTTTATCCGTTCCAGCTGTAATCTTTGATAAAATAATAGGTAAAATTTTATTTCAATCAATTTTGTACCATTTCCCCTTTAACTAAAATCAAACTTGTATAAGAAGTCGAATACATATTCTTCCTCATTATAACCTACGAAAATTGCAAGAGAAGTTAAAAAAAAAAAAAAAAAAATCACTTAAATTTTCCTTTGTTATTTCATCTTTTTCAAAATTTCATCAATCCAAATTTAAAGAATCATTTGTAAGATTAAGAAGAAGATAATTTTTTTTTAAGTTTCAGGTAATAAGGAGTATGCCAAATTCTCAACTTTGGAGATTTTGAATCCATCCATGATTGTTACCTCTTGGACCAGAAGACTTGGTGAGTTATTTATGGTGTTTGCATATCTATGCTTCAAAGTTATGCTTTGAAATTATTGGGTCAACCATCTTCATCGTTTTGTTGTGACCGAAATTGGAACACTTGTTCCTTTTTACACTCTCTTAAACGAAATAGGCTAACTCCAAAACATGCGAAAGATTTGGTTTTCATCCATAGCAATATTCGTTTCTTTTCAAGAAGGAGTGCACAATACTCACAAGGAGAGACTAAAATGTGGGATATCGGTGGAGATGCATTTGATACAGTTGAAGATGTTGGTGTGCTTGAAGTTTTTAATTTATCTCTAGACGAAGCAGAATTGGAAGTGATAGTATTTGTGGATGATGGAGATGAAGATGTTGAAGAGGTTCAAAAGGAATAATATAATTAATTTCGTTTTAACTTTTTGAACTTATGTTATTAAGAAACATTTATGAATTTAATGTCAATTGTGATTTCAATTTATCATTATATATATGATACAATAAGTATAAAAAATCTATAAAATTATAATAAACTAAAAATAATAATATTGTAATCAACGTGTCGGCAACGTATCATGTTGAAACTTTTTCAAAAAATCGCGTGACGTTTCAGACACTCGTGTCCGTGTCAGTGCTTCTTAGGTATTAACAAAAGTTTTTGAGTATTTTTCTCCTGATTGATTGATTTCATTTGTTCAACAAAACTCAAATATGAGTTTTTTTTTTTTTTTTTTTTTTTTTTTAAGTGGGAAAAAATGATGG